GCTGTCTGTGGCAGCACAGCATCTTGAAATTTCCTGGCCTTCGGATCGAGGCTTGCAGCAAGGTGGGCAGCTGGGACGACCAGTCCTCCACAAGACCAGAGGCGAATGAATCGCAATGAAACATGAAACATGCCAAGTGCATGTGGCATGTGCGCCCACCACCTCTCACCATCTGCCGTGGGCTGACGAACGGCTCAGCCTAACAGCGAGGTCCTGGAATGGAACCTCGAGAAGCCGGCCCACGCCGCCACGAACTTGATTTGCGTTCCAAGTGTCCTGCTCTTGTACTTGGCTTGGGCTTGCTTCTACTGCATGGCAATGCTTCAGGCGCTTCTGCACAAGACTGCATTCCACTGACAAGACAAGACGACTACTGAATTCTGAATGTTCTGTCAGTGCCCAGGGTCCTGGTCGATTCCTTCATTCACGACACCGAAGACAAAATCCGCAGCATGCTTCTGCAGAGTCATGTTTTCTTTCTGTTGGTCCAGCTTCATTTTCTCCTCTGACCCTGTCTGGCGTAGCAAAGTGTCATCGAACCACCTGCGGCACAGGGAAAGCTACTGCAAAAGTCGGCAGGTCTAGCTATGTTACGAATGCTCGAGCGATCGGAGGGGCTCTAAACTGTCTGCAAAACGGGATTTAGAGGACTGTTTCAGACTGTTTCAGTAGCTATGTGTCTAAGTCTCATTGCCAGCATAGAACTGCAGGCGCACGAAGATGCATGCCTGCTGTACGTCGCCCATTCATTCTGCAGCATGGACAGGAAAGTCTCCGCTGCCGTGGTCTTGCTCAGGTCCAGGCTGACTTTGGAGGCCAGTCGTAGCGCATGTCGGCTCAGGATGGCCTTCACACCGGGCACGGCGGTGGAAAAGTACTCGGAGGCCTTGCTCACTGTCATACTCTCAGACAAAGGATTGTCGAGGATTGCGTCCAGCGACGTCGAATGACCGCCATCCATAACCTGTAGAAAACAACCGCAGCATGACAGCAAGAACGACAGCAATCCTTCATTCGAATATCTCACAACGTTCAAGCTGCGCAGGCACGGCTCGCCTCCTCCAAGAAGGTCTCCTTGGCCTCCTTTTCGGCCGTCCCCAATGCCGTGTCCGCAATGTTCTCGGCAAGCACAGTGCCTGAGAAATCGTTCAGGGGCACATGTCCTGCCAGAGACTCCCATGGGTTTGCTTCTCTTTGGCCTAGGCACGCTTCAGGAACGACAGCGACTCGGCCAGGGCCGGATGCTTACCCGTCTCGTGGAAGCGCTGCAAGCAGAACTTGCGAACACGCATGAGGGACGTCTCCTGGGCGGGAGAGCATGGTGCTTCTGGAGCTGTAGCAGCTTTGCTGTTTAAGGGGCCCTATGCTTCCAACAGCCTGGAATCCTCGAAAACCCTGGGCGTGGACATTGGCGTGAGGACAAGTTAGCCTTTTTGCGAATCCGGTTCGAACCACTACAGTTTCCCCTGGATAGGGCCAGGGCCCA